CTCTACTACCGAGTCCTCTTGACCCTCCGAACAACGTCCACATGACAGTTTCCGGAACAAATTTGGTGACAGCATCCCTGGATTTACCCCACTGGCAGGGCGGCTTTTATGGGCGGAGGAAACCTTGCACCCAGTAAGTACACTGTGGTGAGGATCCAAGGTTCTGCGAGATTTATGTTATCTAGTATACGAGCTATCTGAATAACCCCTACAATACTCCCCTCTATGATCCCCCAAATAACCCCCTTGAAGGAGTTTAGACAATAACTCAATCAGGTGCAACGTTCGGGGTCAAACTCCCAAACCCGGGCCCAACGACTCCGGCAACGTAAGCTCCAAGCTCTGAACTTTAAAGCCCTGAAGCCTAAGCCACATTGACGCCATTCCCTAAGCCCTAAGGCCTAAACCCCAAACCATAAGCTCTAAACCCTAAAGCCCTATAGTCCCCCTTCTGTAGATAGAATATGGCTTTGGGTATATTACGATAAGATCCCCATATACCTCTTCTTCTATCTACTTGAGGGGGACTGTAGACCCTGAACCAAACTCTAAGGGGTGGGCGTTGCTTTGCCTCCGTGGGGCTTGCATCAGTGCTCTGGACCTCTTCAATCAGGATTCAGGGTTTGGATTGAGAATCTTAGGCCTTCTCTAAGGGTGAGAGGATTAGGGGCTTAGGGGTTTAGGAGGATTGAGATTTGGGGGTTTACGGGTTTAGGATTTAGGGGTTAAGGCTTTAGGGTTTATGGTTGTACTGCAAGGTTTGAGGCGGCTATAGTGAGCGGAACCGAGATCACGGGGAATTTTCTCATCCTGGTAGGGATCAACCAGTCTCATGGTCAGCTCAGCAATGTTTACTGGGTGGCTGTTAAGGAACTTAATTCAAGTTACTTTTTTGGGGAAAACCTATTATTCACCAAATATACCCATTATGCTCACTTAATCTAAGTTCCCTAGCCTTAGCAGCATCCAACAGTCGCCCTAGCTGAAGAAATCTGAAGAAAGGCCTGATGAAGTGTTTTACATACAAGTCCTCGAACGGCCCAAGGATGTAGCCCCATGTAGGCCATCCCCGTTTGGAAATATCAGCCACTTCTACTTGGACACGCTTGAGAATCGTTCACTATGCGAAAACCGAAGACAACAGTCCGCCCGAAAGGGTACAAACAACTCCCCTGGCAGTGCCACTGTCGCTTCCCAAAATTCGAGATACCCAGAACCTCCAATGTTGGTCCTTTTTGGGTAATCTATTCTAGTCCTGTACCAAAAACCATAACAGACCCAAGAAGAAACTGCATAGGAGGTTCTGGGTAATCAATAATCCCTTTATCACTCTCGAGCTATCCCGGGGACAGCACCTAAATCTGAGACCCTGGCCCTGAACCCTTCAATGTCATTCTTAGACCAGAATTTTTACTAACGCTTCCAGTGCAGACGTCACCAACCTCAGACTGGCCTTGGGGCAATATGGTCCCCAATAGTGGGTACTTAGGTCCTAATGGAGGGTAGGTGGAGGGTCTAGGAACAAACAATGGTGTTGTTGCTGTTTATCCTGACGGTAATATTTTCTCAACAGAACCTTTATTCAATCGGGCTCATTTGACCACGAGAACCTCTAGAAGATGTAGGGACACTAGGGGACGCACATCGGGGCTAGCATAAAATTGAAAGCCTATGATACAAGCCCCAATATGACGCGGTCTTCGAGGTTTCTGGCAACCCCACGTAATGTTAGCTTCGGATTAGTAAATTTAGCAAATGGGTTAGTAATAGAGCGAACTTTTGGCTGAACGGAGTTCAAATACTGGGTACGCGGTAGAGCGAACTTTTCGCCAAATTGAGAACCGACGTGATCCCGGGCAATGCAAAGTTAGCCGACCGGGCCCCAGACCCCCCACCGAACAAGTTTGCCGAAATTAGTTTGGGTCCCCGGACTACCTCGAATCCTCTACTTGTTCTGGGGGGGAAGGGTGCTCAATAATCAGAACCTCCCGTTACTTCTACAACACTCACCGACACATCAACCCTGACTGCAGAGTATCACCTGTTTTGCTCTGAATGCGAGCAGATCGCCAGAAAGTCCATGTTGACGTGCTGGTCAGGGATTGCTTGCCGCAGGACATGTATCGTAGCATGTAGCAGGCATATGCACGGTTCCCATGAAATCCCAACACATACACACACACACATACATTTGTATCTTTAAAGACAACTGACTTTGGGAAGCCCTTTCTCATATCAACCATCAGCAGCGGAATCTTGGATCCAAACCCTGTGGCCCATTCCTGTGGTTAGTGCTTTTTGCAGGGAAAACTTGGACCTGCAGGGTTGGCATACTTTTCATTTAGGTTGGTAGCTGAGGGCCTGTAATGCTTCTATTGCTAGGGGCCTCAAAGGTTATGCTGCGTACCCTTTCCTTGCAAACAGCAGCCGGCCCTCCGTCCGGTGTACATTCAGCAGACAAGCTCCCAAAGGGCCCATGCAGCTACATAGTATAGAACTGGGGCCCAACGGGGCTCCCATATAACTACTTGAGGGCCCAAGTTCACACTCTATATAGCTACATGGGCTCCTCGGGAAGACAAATCCAAGGTCAACGTCTTGAACCCCACGTGTGACCAGCTTGCTCATCACGATCAATTTACGACCGGGGAACCCTTTACACCAATATCCGCATGATATCACCAACATTTTCGTGACATTCTTGTAATAACTAGGTAGCCCTATATCACCCTAGGGATCCAATTAGCCCAAGTAGATAATGTTTACAGACTTTAGGGCCCAATGTAGGTATTATTTGTATACTTGGATCCCCAGGGTCATGTAATCCCTATGTCGTTACAGGAGAACCTACAGCTCACAACATGTGAGCCAGAGTCTAAATTCCTAGTATCCCCCTGAATGGCCCCTAGAGTAATCACCTGTATCATCCCCTAAATAAGCCCCCGTTAAGGAGTTTAGACCCTAAACCGTAATCCCTAAACCTCAAACCCTATATAATCCCCCATATANNAGGAGTGTAGACTATGGCTCATGTCCTCCCAACTCTGTTTTCATCCCTGGCAGCAGCCGCCAACCAGGGGGCTTCCAAGGCTAAATCAAGCGGATCTCAGCCGCCGACCTCGGTCTCGGTTTAGGGTTTGAGGTTCAGGGT